GAACTAAAATCATGGTCAATGCAAAAATGTTATTCACAAATCGATATCAGTGTACTATTATTTACATTTACATCTCATTACCGATGAACAGAGTTTAATAGACAGGTACAATGAATGTTCAATTAGATCATATTGACTAAGGAAATAATCAATATACACTTTACCATCAAATTACACACATTTACTAATACTGATAAAATTCTCGAGAACGGCACAACCATTAGTTCATTTTGCAGAGCAGTCCGTCAATCTGAAGATTATTAGCAAGAAAATTCTTTTCTATCTCTCACAAAATCGATCAGTTCATTAGTCTTTCAGACATTTCTCATAGTTCAAACATTCCAATTAGAATTCTATTAGTACATTTGTCAATTGAGTGGCAGAGTAAATAATAATGTGTATTTGCTTCTATCTTTCATTTAGAAGAGCATACTTCGTTGTGGTTTGCCGATATTCAAGGTAAATGTTGTTCAGATGATTTGTATTTGCGCTCAGTTCTCTTACAACCTGACATATCGGAATAGTTTCCGCTACTTCTATCATTAGTTCATCGTAAGAAACAGTGTTGGACATTGTTCCGTCGAGTCACATTTACAATCAGAATGTAATTACAATGAGTCACAGTATCTAATAATGACACCTTTGACAGTATTTACTCGTGTGATCTTTTCAATTGGTTTCTCATGTAAACGAGTTTCAATTCGGTTTAGGCCAGTCAGGTTTTTACTCACGATTCAAAATATACTGGACTACTAAAACTCAAGTCTCAATGTATGAAAATTCTTCATCTGTTTGTATTGTCAGTGTGTCCTGGAATATATCAATGTAAATAAATAACTCTTCTAAGTAAAACTCGCAGCATTTGTAACGACTTCATGTTACTCATAAGCTTGTATGCCAAATGAAACGCATTGTCATCTGAGATTACATATTATATATTGTAGATCATTCATATACATATACCACAACACTGATTCTCATTCAATTCATCATTATAAATCTAAGCAGTGAACAGTTGCACCGTTCATACGTTAGGCCGTTATACATCAGTGATGGACATACACTTTGATCTAGTTTGCTAGAATACCTTTGCACCGAACCATTATGCACTATCATAATTCCAATTTGTCTATCTCTCAAAAATGTGTGCGTGAATGTTCACCAAACGGGAGTTGGGAATGAGACCGAACAGCGTGATTTTATCACATGCATTTTCTGATCAGTTATCGATGCCTTATTTTCAACCTGTCTTCCAGTTAGTCAGTACTCAGGCGATTCTTAATGTCTTCTTGATAACTTTCGAGGCATCATTATTTCACTAGGTTTTGCTTCAGACCTACATCGCGTTGATTCTGGAGGGAAGGTGTTGTAGTGATAATAGATCTCAACCACACAATACTTGATGTCGAACATGTATTGGTTAGCAAAATATATGTTAGACTTAATTTGTCTCACATATATACTACTAGAACCGCAGACGCGATAATGGCTATCCCAGATTCCATGTGTAAGCTTTAGTCAGAACAAGAGCAACATCGCTTTAAACTATATCTGTTTCTGAACGTATAAATAACTAGATTAGTACAACAGTTAAGGAAATTACGGTTATTACGTGAAACGCACAAATATACCGACCAACATTGCGTGTCTTATAGAGGTGAATAAGATTATGAGTCACATCAATAAAATAGGACAGTAGTGTCCTTCAATTGGTGGGTCACATACAACAGAGATAATTTACAGACACATCAGACCAGATCAACATAGTGGGTTCCTAAACAACGATTTGAATGGTTTGTTATGGACATTATTAACAGTGGAGAGAGGATGTTGTAGTGATAATGGTTGTCAAGCACACAGTTTTTGAAGCTGAACATGCAATGATCCGGTAGGTATACATTCAACGTTTGGGACTTAGAGAAAGTCAGAGATTGTAGATGTGGAAACAATAAATCGACTGTAAACGTCGTTGTTGAAATAATTCTAGTTTGAGTATGTAAGGTGAAGAACGGTCATGAGCATTGATTCATTTGCGAAAGAAATGCACACAGAAAGATCCATCTTAGCCACAGTTAGGTAACAAGTAATTGCAATGCAAATCGAGAAATCAAAAGACGTTGAACTGACATTATATTATATGGCAAGTATGATTCTGATGAGACGTACGAGTATACAGTGAATCTGAAAACAATGAACATAGGATAGTATTCTGTGCTCTCCCTATCTATTTCACTTATCCTCAACCAATGAAAAATACCGGTCAATATACAGACCGTGAGCAGGATGAATTGAAAATCAAGCGCTCACTGTGCAAATTCTCGGACTGGTACAACGTTTTCACATGTATTAATCTCGAGGACGCCATCGAAAATTTCTATCTGATCGTTAACTCTTTTCTAGATTCCTGTGTACCTCTTAAAACGCACAGGTTTATTAAACGTTACGATTTATATATACCAGCTGAAAATCGTGGTAGACTAAGACGCCTACAGCAACGTGATTTCAAGTGGAGACACATCACGAGGGTCGCACTAAAATCAGTAATTTTAAATCAAATTAAAGAGAAGCACAGATTGAAAGCTAATAATCAGGAGCTGGCAGCACATAATACAAGCACAACATTAGAAAATTTAATTTTCGTTTTCTATAAACGCGCTCAATATGTCGATTAACCACGCATCCTGCATAACATCAATTTTACTTAAGGCTCGCAAACTATAGCAAAACTTTTCAGTGGTATTTTTGCGAGTGGTAAGGAATTCCTAAAAGGCACTGTTTTCAAAGTCATGCGCGTGACTACAAACGAAGATAAATCTACCTCCTCCACATGCTTGAAATTTACTCAAACTATAAATTCCCTTAAGGTTTCCAGTGATCATGAAGCACAACCAGTTTCATCACTTAGCTACAAATATGGTATTCCAGATGTTCCATTTCTTCTTCTAAAGAATTTTACTCTCTCTATGGTGTGTCGTACACTTTGACTTCCTAAATTCAGCCCTTTCTCAAAGTAACCAATTATATATTCTGCATTCGAAACCCACATCAAGTTGTTGTCGAACACTATCCTTGTTAGAAGTGGTGTAATACAAGGTAGTGAATTAAACATTTTGCCCTATTTGAATGATCATTCATGAGTAGGCCCCATACTGTGTGAAGATGATCCTAAAGTATCTTATTCATTTCTTCCCGATGAGCTGAACAATATGCAAAATCGCGTCAGCATGAAGACTGACAATGTGAAGGATTGGCGTCTAAAAAGGCAACTGGAGGTACTCCTACGATTTTTCGTTTACAGAACACATGTTGAAACGTCTTATGGGTTGCATACCTCGAAACCGTTGTAACAAAGTGCTAGGTTTGAGCTATTACGAATTCACTTAGTCCGCGAATGTAAAAAAGGACACTGCAACCAAGACCAATAAACTAGATATCTAGTGTGTCCCAGCCACGCTAACCAAAGAGAAGCCAAATTTTGAAAAGGGAAAGTTTAGTCCGTAAAAGTCAGAAGCACGACCGATAACAACAAACACAAATCAAATGTATATATATATACAGCATACAACTGTCCTTGGGAAGCACTGCGAAATCGCATACAAAAACACATGACGGACCAATAGCTTGAAAGATTCTACAAAGTGCAAAATACGACGTGATGGTGAAAAGAAGGCTTTGGCACGAAAACTAGGACATTCAAATTATTTTACCTGTAAATTTTCCAGACTGCAGAATAATCTACCACAATCTATCCGTAATACAGAATCACTCTCATCCTCTGTTCGCTGCATTGATGCACACTGCTCCTCTGAAAATGCATTGAATGTTCCAGCATGTGTATGTGTATTTTAAATGTCTAGCCATTCTTGCTACTGAATTCACAAAGTAAAATCACCTACTCGCTGTTTCTTCATGTAAACACCGTTTCTGGCTACCCTAGAAAACTTGAATAATGTCTAAAAGGAACTGCGTAACACTGAGTCACATGGCAAGTGCAATATGGTTGACCGGATTGACACATTTTCGTAGTACTTGCTTCACTGCCCCATGTTTCCGTTTTAGTTTCTGTAGTTGTAGATGATTATGATGAATTCGTTGTGGCACAGAAAATGACATTCAATTCACCGTTCATATATCAACAGTTTGTGCACTTATGAAAAATCAAATGTCACCGGCTAGTGCATCGCATGGCTGTATTACATCTTGTAGGTGTACTACCTAAACAATGTTTGAGCTAGTAAGCTTAAAACAATCTTCGATCACATGTTAATTATGTACGTTCTATGTTACAATTTCTACCAGGTCGATGATGCTTTTAAACTGGTGTGAATTTTGTAAATATAAATATCAGATTATCTGCATAATCATTTCATGTACCCTGACTTGGGAAATTGAAATAGTGAATTTTGCAGCAAACGAAAATGTAAGAAAGGTGAACGTGGTAATGGAAGGGAAATTGTATGTTTAATGAAATCGTGTTAGTTAATAACGCGTTCAGGACAGTTTTCAATAAAGACTGTACACGTTTAAACACATGCGTGAGGAGAGATTTTTAATGAGATTGTTTGTCATTGGTGTAAGGTGTGAACAGAAATGAAAGCAAGGGTATTGATATATGTGGTCCATGCATGAAGAGTCGTTATGCCTTCCCTTCTAACAAACAACCTAATAATAGTAGAATCAGTTGCAATATAAATTTTACCAATCTGAAGTGATAAATGTGTTTGCAAACATCTCATTACTACCACCAACTTCAAATAGACTGTAGCGATCGGTTGCCAAATGCTGGATATATCCATTCATTACGTCACCTTGTTGAAATTTTGCTCTTCATTAATGTCGAACGGTGTGTAACATGCAAAATACTAATCTGCTAACCAATTGTGGCCGTATGTACATACTGCGTTCAATGAAGAAACAAATTATAACCAACCACAAACGTGTGTGTCAACTTGTTATTGTCTGTGTTGATCAGTGTCATCTGAAACAATATGAGTATATAAGCGTCGATGTAATAGTTGGTTTGATATTTTATTGTAGCCGAGAAAGAGAGTCACTAATTCCTTCATCCGACGTGTGGACAATCGAACTGACAATGAAATATATCAAGATGCTCATCATGATGTTTATAGTACAAATTGCAATGATTCAATTCGTCCAGTCAGGTGGTGATATGAAAAGTAAGTATACGTCTTTATATCATGTTGCCATAATAGTAAGCTAGTAACCACTGATACATGGCTAAATAACGATTTCTTTCTTTTTAAACATACAGAAACAGATAACGGAAATGGAAAAGTAGATGTAGTATTGGGGCCTAACGGTATCAGTGTGAAAAAAGATGGAGATTCTATTGTTACCAAAATTGAGAAACCTCTCGGCAACGACAAACTTACTGGTATCAATGTGAAAAAAGATGGAGAATCTGTTGTTACCAAAATTGAGAAACCTGATGGCAACGACCAACTATCTGGTTAAAATGTGCATTCTGACACATGAAAAGCAATTTCAGGACATCAACATGCGGTGATATAGTGATGATTTCTCTTCCATTTTGTTTACAACTTTGTTTTTAATAATTAGTTAATAAAGATATTTGCAACAGAATGTGAGCGCTTTTCTCTCGTTTCGTCGTTGTTTTACATTAGTCAATAATTGATAGCATAATATGTATGTTTGATTAGAATTGATGCACAAATTGACCTGAAACAACTAGTCTCAACAACAATATATCTTCAGTTTGCATTATATACATCATATCAGCGTCCGAATTAACGATTACACTGACTAATTACAAGAATTGTAAAAGCAATGTAGACATCGTTAAATACAGTAGTCAGTGAGATCAGTAAGCTAGGTATCTCATTCTTTAAGTGAAACTTAATGTTCTTGAAGTAAGATATTCGCAACATAGACGTTCTAAATGCTTAGAAATCTCCTCCGATGTTGAAGAAACAAATATTCAGTTTTGCACAGTTTTCATGTCAAAGAATTTTATGAGCAGTTTCACAACTACCAACCCATCGTGTTCATCTTATCAATGAGATTATAGCAAATCATCTGAAATCAACATGGATTGTGGCTAATTTCGGTTAAGCTATTTTATTGACTCCCTTAACAGACAATGTTATTCGAACAGTGACCATTCGCATATTTCTTCGTACTATTTTGATCACTATCATATCTGTATAAAGGTGTAGGCTTGATCGCATGATGAACTCTAGCTCAAATGTTGACAGTTCAAATGTTACTCGATGATCCATTCTCTTCCTCATGTATGTATGTGCACGATTCCTATTATTAGTTTTTGCCTTGCATAGCTGCGCCTTATTGCATTTGACTCTAAATTTGTCTCTGTATTCGCTCGCACACACACATTTGTCTCTCTGCTTCAAATTCGCCCGATATACTTATAATCTAGTTGTCCTGACACGTTCGACGCTCTTCATCGACATAGTTTTCGTTGAACACCAAACGGTGATTATTTAACCACACTGTCTCACCATTTCGTCCGTTTGCAACTACTTGTTTAAATGAAACTCGTTCCATTTCCAATGTTTCGATCGAATGTAAACTCATCCGATTAAACGATGGAATTGGAAATGTGGTTTGACATTCCCTTTACACGATTGCTCTGAGCACTACATTTTAGACTGCGTTCCTCCAAAGATCATCCATCTGATTTTAATTGTGAACGTTTGTGTGGGTTGTGAAGAGCAACATAATGTGACACTATGGATTGTCGAGAAATCTGATGTATCAGTGATATGCAAAAACAATTGCAGATAAGCTGTATAATTTCACACTCCAACCATTGACTTGGGCTGAAAAAACTAACACCATAAACATATTTTTTTCTGAATACAATAAACAGATCCATCAGATTGCTAGACGATACATCGTGTCTCATTTCGTTGTTCTACAAAACGTGCGCATATGTTCAGAGAGAAAGTTAGATGGATGACACACTGACTGATTGAATGAGACTGACACAGTACCATCAACAGTTTAAGAAACAGCACTTTGATCATTAAATTTCCACAAGTTTGATAAAACAATAATGTTGTTCACTCTTTGTCATTACATGCTGACTGTAAATGTGACTCGACGGAACAATGTCCAACACTGTTTCTTACGATGAACTAATGATAGAAGTAGCGGAAACTATTCCGATATGTCAGGTTGTCAGAGAACTGAGCGCAAATACAAATCATCTGAACAACATTTACCTTGAATATCGGCAAACCACAACGAAGTATGCTCTTCTAAATGAAAGATAGAAGCAAATACATATTATTATTTACTCTGCCACTCAATTGACAAATGTATTTATAGAATTCTAATTGGAATGTTTGAACTATGAGAAATGTCTGAAAGACTAATGAACTGATCGATTTTGTGAGAGAAAGAAAAGAATTTTCTTGCTAATAACCTTCAGATTGACGGACTGCTCTGCAAAATGAACTAATGGTTGTGCCGTTCTCGAGAATTTTATCAGTATTAGTAAATGTGTGTAATTTGATGGTAAAGTGTATATTGATTATTTCCTTAGTCAATATGATCTAATTGAACATTCATTGTACCTGTCTATTAAACTCTGTTCATCGGTAATGAGATGTAAATGTGAATAATAGTACACTGGTATCGATTTATGAACAACATTTTTGCATTGACTATGATTTTAGTTCCAGTGAATATGGGTGACGTGATGTGATGCAATCTGAGCACTAACTGACCACGTACCCACTGTGCATTGGAATGAAATGTCTCAGATCATGGGGTTTAAATTGATTGTTATCTGAACTCAGAAGTTCGTGATTCGATGTATGGATAAGAAGCGATTACGGACATTGTCTAGATTGACCACAATATTATGCTGCTCTGTTTCATTCAACAGGATAGTTTGTTTGTTTGTTTTAACTGTGATAAGAATAAGCCGTCACAAACATGGCGTGGGGTTTAACTGAATGGTTAGTATTCAGAAATCCTCAGTTCATTCAACTAAATATATTTTGGATCGACTGATCTGGCTGTCTCGTCAGAATGCTGAATGTCCGTTGTTTGGAAACAGTCAGCAACAGAGTCAGTAGAAAAAGAAAATACACCTTCGTTCCGAGAAGTAAATTAATAAGAGACGCATGAGATGGATAGAACATACACTATAGGAATCATGAGACTGCAGATATTGTAATGGTGAAGGTGGAAGGAAAACAGAAAATCCCATGAACATATTGCGTCGATAATCGAAAACATGCATGAAAAGATTGAATAGCAACATGGAAGAACTTGGAAGGAATGTCCAAAACAGGGTTTGATGGAGAACGATGTGGGTGGCGAATGCGCCCACATGAGGTGTGGCAGGCGTAAGTAAGTATGTGATTACATTAGCATAGAGTCCAACTCCGATGTAGCTTGTGATCTGTTGCCTTTGAACATATTTGATTAACTCGATTCTCCTCATGGTCATGAGATAGCAGTTGAATGATATAGCCGTTAGCATGCATCAGATGAGTAGAATTTCATCCCTCACATCTATAGAACTGATGTGACGAAATTGAGACTGTTTACCAAATGTGATTATGTCAGTTAGTTGGATGGATGTGAATATCGCTAGTTTGATTTTCCAATGAAGTTACTCGGTTTCGAGTAAGCTTTATAAAGAGACTGATTGATTGATACTTATAACGTCAACGTGAACTTCATAATGAACCATCCACCACACACTACTCCGTGTCAATAACGTAACCATTTCGTGTTACACATCTTGCTCTTCTTCTTCGAAATGAATTGTAAGCCACATAAATACCAAGTATCATGCCAAACGAAAAAAAACATCTCCGAATATAAATTCAACTGAATATCAGTAAATAATATAACACTTTCAATAAGATATAAGATGAAACGAGATGAATTCAAATATTGTTAGGTACATTTAACTCTTGATTGTTCACCAATAAATCAACTGATTGCGCGTAATTCTTCAACTGTAGTTTTTGACAAGCAATGCGAAAGAGGGATATCGATCCAAATACATATCTGACAAACAAAAACGAGAGAGACAATCAGAAATTCTTCGCTAAACTATTCACAATTTAACACCAGCAACAGACTGACCATTTCTAAACGTTAGTCGAGGTCTTCAAAATCATCTCGACAACCAGAAGAGGGAGGACGAAGGAGGGTGAAAAGTTCAATGGCTAGTGCTGATTCATGGGTAAATTTTTGTGTTATCACATCGTTTTGTGTCTACAATCAAGTTATTATATTGTGATCAAATTTCATAGGTAGAATGTTTTCATTTTATCTGGGAAATATTTAACTTCGTATGTGTAAAATTTGATTTTAAGTTGGGCGCATCCGTTTAGATCTATTGAACAATACATTTGGGGTACTACTTATTAAATGGGATTATATTCACTACATTTGGTATAATCTACTACGTTTAGTCTGGTGGTAATGGATACGTATTTTCATGAAAATCACTTTGGATCAAAATTCCTGTAATTATTGATCTTCACATATTATTGTATAAAATAGACATTAACTTTTGTTTTTGAACTGTGTGTGAGCAAGAATTGGATAGAACTAAATATGTAGGGCAGAGTGGACTGAAGAACGCTGGTTGGCAGCCTATAATCCATTATGAATAACAGGGGTAAGTAAGTAAGTAAGCAAGTAAGTAAGTAAGTAAGTAAGTAAGTAAGTAAGCAACTAAACTATACTAATATGCTATCCTGCATATCAGCACATCTATGCAGCCCTCCTGGACATAAATTTGAACATAACAATGTAGGAATTATTATGAAGTGAAATTTTTAGAATGTGAAAATGTTTCTAGAATAATTCGGAGAACTTTCAGTTACATGATTAGCTATTACTTGGATTTATTGATAATCTGGATTGCGATCATGTATTATGTCCATGTCACAGAGGTTTACGATGAATAGTATTTTACGCATGTACAGTCTGCAAACACGTAGACATCCTAAAATGCAGTAAAATGTCATCTAATCCATCCGACAGCTTGATCATACCAAAAAGTAGTATGTATATCAACCGATATAATTAATCAGTCTGTTTTAGTTTACAAGTGGTCATAAAAACAAAGACAGTCAGGTTTCAAAAAGGTTTTTGTGGAGATTTTAGTAATTTCAATAGTTCAGATCATGAGTCAATTGAAGCTAGACTATCATGGAAATCCTGGAAGTACTGGATGGCGGTTTTTTCCTGTTGTGTGACTCCCAAGCAGTGCGCATGCAAGACCGCGCCCTCTGCGTGATTCGAACCCAGGACCTATCAGACTCGCGCGTGAGCGCTTACGCTCATGTATGCGCATATGCTCTCTAAAGACTGGCTTCAACATGTATATCTTCAGGTTCTAGTGGGAAGCAGTGACCATTGGAGTTCAACCGTGTCAGTTGTGCGATAGTAACTCACTGATGACAATGATGGATGCAACGCTCAATTTCGTAGACTGGTCGGAGTTAGACATTAACAACATTTGATGCCGACCAGCTCAGTGGTCTAGTGGTTAGACGGTCGAGCGCGAGAATGATATGTTCTGGTTTCGAATCTCTCAAAGTGGGGTTGTGATGCACATTGCTGAG